TCAAAAATTCAAAAATCTGCAAAAAATTTTTGCTTTTTTTCGACAATTTTTTTGGTTTTTTTTTTAGTTTTTTATTAATTTTTCTACAAAATTGGTTTTCAATTTGCATGTTTTATCTTTCGAATATATCTAGTCCACGTTTTTTTCAGCTCCTTTTATCACACCACGCCAAAAAAAAACAAAATTAAATTGAAAAAACTTTGTTGTGTTTTTAAGACTATGGTTGAAACAATCTGTGCTACTTGAAGAGTACCGGCCATCCTTGTTTAAATTTTGGAATAAATTATTCCAAACTAAGAAATCTAGAAAAATATACCTATTTTTGATCACTTTGTCGAGCTTTACATTTTCGAGTATTTTATGTTTGTTTGTTTGAATTTAAAAAATTTTAAAAAAATAATTGAACTTTTCTTCTAAATATCCCGACGCTGTATAGGCTTTCAAAAGTATTGCTTTCAAAAAATCAATGACAAAGCGTTTCATTAAAAAATTTACTTCTGATTTAAATTTTTTGGGCATAAAAACCAGTAAAACTAAGAAGAAAAAAAACGCCCTGTCTCAAATTTTGTTGAGCTCAGACAAAAAACAATATATACAAAAACTTGTTAAAAATTCAGTCCAAATTTTTTACCCCAAAACTCTTCGTTTTTGGCCTTTCAGAAAATGAAAACTTTACGCTAAAGTTCTTGAGTCAATTGTGGGGCAACTTATATGCAAGTGAGCTCTTTATGTCGCTGAATAAAAACTGTGGATGACTCTTACCCTCCAAAAGTTTGAGCAAAACTTTCAAAAAACGTTGTTTTTAGTATGTAAGTTTGACATTTTTGGCTATCAAACGAAAATAATTTCTGCTTAGACAAGAGCGAGAAGTTTTTACTATTTTTTAAGTTTGTTTTGTTCCAAAAGAGGCTTACTTTTAAAACAGTTGATCGAGGTTTGACCCATTTGTTTCAGTGTAACTCTTGAACAAAAGATCACAACTATATCATTTTTTGTTATCGCGAAAAAATTTGCAAAAAATTAATTAATTCTGGCAAATAAATCGGAAACAGTTTCCAATAAAATAACTTTGGCAAAAACCTTAGCAACTTTTTTCCGATCGCTTTTTTAAAGATCAACCTATTTTGAGAAAATTTTGAGTCCTGGTTAAACTTTAAGGTCCAAAATGTGTACAAAAAGCATCATTTTCACCTTACATTTTTTCTTCAAGGACGCAAAGTTTCAATTAGATATTGCTCGAAACATGTCTGAAAAGCATTTAAATATTGCTTAAAACATGTCTGGAGAGCATTTAAATATTGCTCGAAGCATGTCTGAAAAAGTTTTAGCATGATATGTCCTTCGATCTGATTTTTTGTGGCAATAGATTTTGCATTAAAAAACTCAAAACACCAAAGAACATCCAATTAAAAAACTCAACAAGGAAGGCTCAACAAGCACATAGATTTTTATGGCAGTTAAATCAGTGTATGACAGAAGATTTAAGTTTAAAAGACTGAGTTTTAATGCATCAGATTGAGTGAAGTGAGGGCAAAGGGCAAATTTTTATTTATGTCTGTCTCCCGGGTGCAGGTGGTCAAATTATATATCGACCGCATGGCTCGAATCAAGGTTTATGGACCCGAGTTATACAGGTTCAACAAAAATTCGGACTTCTTTCAGCGCAGCTCCTCCCATATTTCAAAGTTTTTCTTAGTAGTTCTACGTTCTATTATGGCTAAATGCATGATATAACGTTAAGAATTATGAATAAAAATGTGTTCAGAATAGTTAATTTGAATTTTCTACCGTTTCTTGCCATGTGCCAATTTTCATGACATATGGACTGTGTGAACAGAAGTTAGCAAAACAGCAAATGTCGTGGAAATGAAATGTCAGAAGCGCAGTTAGTTTGTCATCATACAAAATATCCTTACATTAAGGCACAGCTAATTAACTTTGCAGAAACGAAACCCAAGTGTGGAGGAAGATTAAAAAAGAGCTTAATTTCGGTCGACCAGGGTCGCTAAATACCCGAGTCGATGTTCTCACTCTATGCTTCGACCGTCTCCACGACGCTTACGTACGTTTTGAACGTTTGTACCAGTTTCAGGATTAATGAGACTTTTTTGGTTTAACCGGGGCTGTTTCGACCGGGGCTATATAAATTAGTTAAATATCATATAAGGCAAAAATTGATAACTTTAGGCAAACTAAAATTAGAAGTTAGGCTGGTGACGCGAAGAGTCCCCAAGATAGCTTTGGCAAAACGCCACAAAAGACTTCTGAGCCGGTTGTCGATTTGAAATCTCCGGTGGGCGTGCTAAGCACACACGACCACACACACACTGCAATAATTTTTCTATAAAATCCAACCAATTTGGCAATTACGCAATTCGTTGGTGCGACTGCGACAAACCCTTTCTGTTCTTTTAGTCCGCTTGTTTGGTATGCAGTGCTATCACGATGAAATACGATTTCTGCTGAGAAAACGTTTTTTTATCAAAATTTTTTAGTCTAAGGCCTGCTTTTTTGTTTTTGCCTAAATTCGCTGCCTCCGTTACAACTAAACAAAAGATCTCAGCTGGCTCGACCCAAGAAAAATATGTGTTGACCGCCTCAGGTAATCAAGTTTAAAATGGTTTACTGATTAGTCTAGGGTAAGTTCTTTCCGAAGAGTTAATAGAGTCATTTGTAATTTGTATGCTTTGTAAAAATAATCTTTTTTTTGAAAAAGTTCCATCTTATGAATATTGTGTTGTTTATTTTGGGCAAATAATTTTTAAAAAATTTTGATATTTTTAAACAAGTTTCGGTTCTTTTCCAGTTTTTTATTTCATTTTTTCTGAAACTCAATTCATGAAAGCCCGTTTCAAATAAATTTTAGTGTTTTGAACGGCAGTAAAACGAGTCCGCGTGAAGATGAGAACAAATTTCCACAATATTTCTTAAACTCGACTTGCTGTATACAAAACTTTGGAGCAACCGTGTGTTTTAATTTCACGAGAAGGCTGAGAAACTGGAAAAGAGCACAAAATTTGGTCGAGTACAAAATATTTTAAATTTTGGTCGAGCACGGTAGAAACATACCTCGAGCAGGGTAGAAACATACTTCAAACATGGTTGAAACATACTTCGAGCAAGTTACCGAAAAGTATCACGAGAAAGTTTGTTCAGTGATTAGATAAAGACACATTTTACTGCAGTTTATAACATCAAAATCACAGGAGGGGACAAAAAATCACACGAGGGGACTGGAAAAGAGCCGAATTTTAGTATGTTTTGATTGTGCTCGAGGTATTTTTTGAACTTGTGTTCGACTCAAACTCCGTCTGAACTCTTCTAATGGGGCTTTTTTCCATTCCCCCAGCCCATTTTTCAAATTCAACATCAAAAAAATTAACGTTGCCATAAATGCAATAAAACTTAGGTATGGTGAACAAACCAACCATTGTGGTCGGGTTTGTTCTTGATACATTTGAGCTTTTAATTGCGCGTTCTGTCATAATTACACTTTAAGCAACTTACAAAAATCAAAAACTTGAAATATAGGCGGAAACTTTTTTGGCCTAGCACTGACTTTGTTCTCGAGTTCGAACGTCGAAATGCGAAATGAGCGTCTCGACCCAGATAAGTCAAACATCTCAACTCGGGCTCAAAAAGCCGTCGAAATCCTTTAAAGGTCTTTCCTTAGAACGAAATTTTGCATCCTCTTTGTAGGGTCTCGGGTTGACAAAAAATGCTTATCATACAACTCCATACTACGAAAAAAATTCTTATCAAAACAAATTCATACAACTTCAAAGAATAAAAAAAACCTTGTATAAATAATACATGATAATAGTTTTTTCCGTTCAATTGAATTGTATGATAAGCATTTTTTCCATACTAAGGAATTGTATAGCAATCATTTTTTACTTGTATTTTTTTTGTGTTTCTCTTTAAATAAGTGTTTTTCCCTGATCGCCAACATCAAAAGTTTTCGCATTTGAGAAAACCAATGGGGATCGCATTGAATTGCAGATTTAACTACGTATTGCTAGATGACAGGTCAGATTAAAATTGAATTTCACTTAAAATTTTAAAAAAAATGTTTAAAAAAACTTTTTTATATGGCTGCGAGGCCTCTGTTTCGAAAAAACTCAGGCGTTGAACATTGTGGCCTGTATTTTGGTTAAACTAAGGATATATCACCTGATCTCCAACTGAAAAGTAAAAACTTTGGCATCACAGAAAACCTTCAATTCGACCCTTGTTTTTTATGCATAAAGACTGAGCAGGGCCTACGATATAAGCAAAAACTTCGCGGCTTTTTCCCCCTTTGATTTCTTTCTGAAACTTATTATACAAAATACTGTTTAGAAGGACTTTTTTTGCTGTCAACTGCAATAAAACGTGTCATCGTGAACATGTGAACAAATTTATACAACATTTCGTACATGCAAAATGCCGTTGAGCAATTTTTTAACATAATTTTTGAGGGGGATGGGAAACTGGAATGAGCCATTCTTGCATGCCAAAAAACAGTTTTCACAAAACTTTCTTTGTGCGTAAAACAAATTTAGCGACTAAAAAAAGAACTGAAAAACCAATGCATGGAATTGTAAGACAAGCATATTTCTTGGATGGAATCTCATGACAGGCATTTTTGTTGTATGGGGGTGAACCCGGGGTCACATCATAAAACTGTTTAAAAATTGGGAACTGTTTCTCCGCTCCCACGCAAAACTAAAAAATATTGGGAAATTTTGTTCACGTGTTCACGCTGACACGTTTTAATGCAGTTTAGAACATCAAAATGTCATTTTACTTAGAGCTTCATCCATTGAATTTCAAAAAAAACACCAAAAGCGAACTGGAAAATAGCCCGGACCAGTTGTTCATACAGAAATGTAGTTTTGTATAAAATCACCGTTGCTGAAGGAATTAAAAATGGTCAATTTGATCGTCAATGTAAATTGGTGTTTAATGTACAGTTTGTTATGCACGTGCAATATATAGCTTCATTATTATTTAAATATCTTCAAATGAACAGCTAAATGCAGTTTTTCAAAGACAACAGCACGTTGAGAAACGATATATTGGATTATTATTAAAATCAGCACGCGAGCAAAAAAGACCGCAGCTCAGGTAAATATTACGGATACAGTTCCCTCTATTTTACAAAAAAAATTGATTTTCCGCAAAAAAAACGTAATTGAAAATCACCAATTTGGAGACTCAAATAGATTTAATTGGTTTGGTTCTGTTTCTAGAAGCAATTTCAACAATAATTAGCTTCGCAAAATGGCCACACCCCTGCCGAGTGTAGCCCCACCCTTGCAATGGGGGAAGCCGACAAAACACATCCTGCAGTCGGCGGGTGCTGACTGCGACCTTATGAACAGGTACTGTACCACCAACTCCACCACCTTCGGGATCCAGGGTTACAGACCTCGCGAGGGATCCCACCACGGTACCGGATACCTGACCAACGAACGAGCTCAGTATCAGTACTCGCGACAATTGGATGAGTTCGACAATCCCGTCATGTCTCGGATGCTTGCTGACTGTTACGATTCGGTCACGAAGCAGAGTTACCGGCCGAATAGCGTTCCTCACGGCCGAGAACCACTTCCGGCGCTCATGAACGACAACGTGGGAACTGGATTCACGAGGGAAAAGGCAGTCACTGTGCCGACAGTCGCTAAGGCCTACGAACCATTTCAACGACCGATGGACGGCGGATTGCAAGTTCTTCCCAAGTTTCAACCGCATCTTCACAAAATTCGGCCAAAAGACCCGGTCGAACAAAATCATTACGGGCACGGTCCTGAATACATGGAGACTGAGTACAAGACAACGTATGACAATAAGTATAACACGCCGAAAGATTTGTTCACAAAATCGACAGGTCCGTTGACCGACACAGGATTCACTAGCAATTTAAATGTAGAACCAGTCACTTTCCACCACGACATGCCGTACAAAGATCTGCAGTTTAATGATCGGCCAACTGGCAGCACTGAGTACGATTATAGATACGTTGACAAAACGATTCCGAACGGAGCCGAACCATTGCCCCACGCAATTCCGACAGCCGGCACTCGTGAGAATGGGTTCACGAAGGATGTCTTGGATCCGAAGTATAAACCGAAATACGACTTCATGAGTTACACGGACTTGCAGCAAATGCAGCCGACGACTGCTAAAAAACTGGCTAAGGATGACCCAGCCGCATTCATGAGTGTGGAAAATCCAAACAATAAAACAGCTACAAAGCCTCTTTTCTACCAAGGAAAAACCACAGAAGATCCTTCGCTGGCTAAACGTCTAAACAGGTCGACGCATGGACCCAACACGGACACTGGATTCAGCCAGAACACGACAATTCTGGCTCCTGAAGTTATGCTCCACGGACCGGACGACAAGCGTCGTTTTCTCACACATAATGACCTCCAGTACTACGACAAGAACCCAACTGGAAAACACAGAGAGGGTAGGGTCATTGGAGCTGTTCAAGCGCACGTTGAAGACGCTTACACGAAGAGTGAGAAGGTACATAAGTTGGGCACGGGTAAAAAGTGGGATCCGAGCGACCAGCTGCGTTGCCAGAACCCGATGCAAGCCAAGTCCATCAAAGCTCGGGACACCTTCTTCGACGATCACTTGCACCACCCGAAGAACCGCGACTACGAAGTGCCGAAGATAGACAAGGACAACTCGTTGAGACCAGTGATGAACATTCAGAAGCCGAGACTGCAGCCGTACCAGTATGACCCCAACTTCACGGGGGCGAAAGTGGGCAGTCCAAGGCAGCGACACACACAGCACTGGGCGGTGGCCCAGTACGAAGCCGCCTAGACTGAATTATGCTGCTGTTATATGATTCGATTCTGCTCTTGCTCTAGCTATGATGTATTCCAAAATAATAGACAACAAAAATTAACCTGTTTAAAAGAATTATATTTCCATCAATGCGCACACTTGCGAATTCAAATAAATTTAATAAGTCGATGCTGGAGATAACTTTTTAGTGAGAAAAAGCTTATGACCGTGCTGAGAAAAGATTTTTCAGAAAGAGAAAAAATTGGGCCATAAAAATCTGAGTTTTTCAATAATACGGTTTTAAATTGAGGGCTGCTTTTCAGTTATTGTTCCGACTTTCGATACGAAAGTAACGGAATATTTGTGCTCGGGGTGGGTTTTTTTTCTTCAGACAAATTTAACTAGCCGTTTTTGACGGAATTTTTTCATATCATTCGAAAGCCATTGTTGTCCTGAGCTTAAATTTGAAAAGATATTTCACCTGTGATTATTTTCCGTAAAGTTATGAGGGTTTAAGGATTGTCATTTTGGCCATTTTGACCAATTTGGGACAATTAACGCGCGATATAAGATAGACTGAGAAAGTTTCACAAACCTATCCGAGCGAAAATTAAAAAATAAATAGCGTGACAAGAAATTAGATACTTGCAATTGTTACTAAGATAATTCCGGCGTGACACCTTAGATAGTGTGACAAGAACTCTAAGAAATGAATATATGAGATAGCCACCAATTGGCTACTTACAACTCTTCACTATACTTTAGTATACTGACCTTGACATTGAGGACGTCTAGGCTGTTGTCGGATGCGGCCACTATGAACTTGGCCAGATGTAGTTTACCCTTGGCCACTGCGTCCAGGAACATCCGAGGGCCACTCTCCATCCCTATACACGAAAACAACACAATAGCTTAAAGCTCCGAATCGAGTGTCCGTTTTCAAAAAAAAAGAGTAACAGATCATTTATACACAAAAAGAAAGGTGAACTTTTTTCCTTTTCCCCACCTGCAAGTTTTTACCACTTAAACTTGTAAAACAGTCCAATTGTTACAAAAATTGGCATGTGCACTAATTAGGCCATAAAAAACATAGCTAGTTTTCATAATTAACCTTGTAAAACCCCCGCTACACCGATGCTACTGTGAGGTCGAGAAAACGAAAAGCCGAACGAAGTGACACACGTGAACTGTTCAGTTGTTTAGGGAGAACCGCTGATGTGCCCTTTGTTAAAAACCTGCATCTTAAGGTACTTTTAAAGACTAAAAATTGTTGTCTCCCCACATTAACTAATGAGAACCGATAATGATGTGCCAAAAATTACCTAATGGAAGATAGCGGTGTATAATACTAAACAATTTTCAGTCATTATTCAATTAAATTCGAAAGTTTAAATTCAAAAGTTCCTAGTGCTGAAAAATCAGGTCAAAATTTTGATTTTTAGTCCAATTTGAAGCTAGTAAAGTCAGAGAATCTGTTTATTAAGCTGTAAAAATAGATTTTTAGCTGTGAAAAAGAAACTTCCGAAAATTTTCGAAGCTTGCGTCAGCGCTTCTTTGGCACCAGAATTTCTTTTAAGGAATGAAAAAAAAATGAGAAACAATTTTTTCGTATTTATTTTTTGATAATCAATTAACCAGCATAAATGCATTTGGAATTGTGAGAAAAAATGAAGATTCTATAAATATTCTCTAAGTGCAGGCGCTTTTTTGGGGGTTTTTGGGCTGAAATTTTACGTAACTGAATTTTGTTAAACATTTAATAAGCAGAAATGTGTTTGTGCACTTGAAATTTAAAAAAAACGAGGCTTTAATAAACATGCTTCAACTGCAGACCCTTTTTTGGGGTTTTTGGACTGCGGGTTTAATAAATATGAGTAAAAAGAACAAAAAGTTGTCTTTTTTTCTTCATCTTCTTCTTAATATGGCAATTTTTCAGTTTTTATGTGTTTTTGATTTAAACCTTTACTGCTCAGGTTTTTTTGCATAGAGTTCTGTCACAAAATATAGTTTTTAATAATGATTCAGTTGATGAAACAATAATCTTTTTTCAATGTTTTGACGTCCTTGATCCTCTAGATTAGTCTAATTTTTTTCTCATTTCTTAAAAGTAACAGAACAGAGTAGCCATTGAGTTCGATCACATTCGAAAGCAACTAAAAAGCAAAATTCAGCCAATTTTGGGCTGTTTTTGCTGTGTGATAAGTTCTAAAAAAACCGATTGTTTTCACGGATCAACTAACCATAAGCTCCTTCAGTTGTTTTTAAAAAATGAACAACAAAAAAATTGTTGAAAAAATATCAAAAAAAAATTTTTTTCAAAAGTTTTTCGAAGTAGTGGCAATTTTTTTTTTCGTTTTTAAATATATTTTTGTACCAAACAGTTGTTGAAAATAATTAATCAATAAATTTTCCCGGCTTGAATGAAACTTTTTCCTATTATAAAAAGCGCGAATTACTTCTCAAAGTTAGGCTGAAAAGCAAACATGATATTTTACTCGACCCAGCTTGATGATAACTGTTTTTGCGTGGAAAGAATAAACAATAAAACAATAGCACTCTCGATGACAAAATGTCTCCCCTCTTTTAGTGGTAAAAACAACAATATAAATCAGCGGCAAAAACTAAGTCACTCGTTCCAAATCAACAAGAATAGCAGAATCATCTTCAACTATTCGGCAGCTTCGGCTTTTTAAAAGTTTTTTTTTTGTTTTCAATGAGTGTATTTTTTTTCAAATCAATTTTATTAGGATAAAAAAGTTTTACGCTTGGGATGAGCAATAGATATTTTTTTCAGGCTAACCACTTGCTTAGGAAAACTATTTGGATTAATTGGCCAACTCTGGGATTTTGTCAGCAGCAGAGTTATTTTTAGCATGTCTTTATTTCAAAGGCTTTTTTTTCAAATGTTTTATTTGTTTAATGTTTGTTCAAACCAATTAGTTTTTTTAAGTTTTGCTTCAATCGTTCTGAAAGATTTCAATCTAAATTTACTGTCTTATTTGTTTCATATTGCATGCTTAATAGGAAAATTTGCTTTCAATTCTTAGGAGTTAAAAGGCTTCAATTTTTTTTAATTTGAACATTTTTAATAGCCTAAAACTTTTCCTTTGACAATCGTTGTTTTTGTTTTAACTGGCATATTTTTTTCAAAATTATCTTCGAGGCGAACTGCAAAACAAGACGAACAGTATTTCAACAGGCTAGCCATTTTGTCAAAAATGGCTAGTTAAAAAGGCGAATTTTTCTGAAAAAAAATTACCCCGAGCAAAAATAATCTGTTACTTTTGTTATGAAAGACGGAACAATAATTTAGAGAAACCGCGGATTATTAATACATGGCCGTAACTTACAACCAGTATAAATTTTATTGAATTCTGCCAAAATGAGATGACTCTTTGATTTCAAAATGTTAGGAATCCGTTAAACTTTTTGGGATCACGAGACTTTCCAAATTCCGGAACCACTGCGGATGCTATAAGCTAAGGAAAAAATTTTAGACCATTTTTTTTAAAAATAAAACGACAAACTCTGCTTGATAGATGCAGAACCTTCAGTTTGTCTCTTAGACCACGAAGAATAACATTGAACGTCTTCTTACCTATTTTCTTTTTTTTTAAATATTGAAAATGACTTTTTAATTTTTCTCTCTGCCATTTTAGGACATAGATAAATCACCGATTGAGACAATGCAACAACCAACAACATTAATTATTTTTTAATCTAATCCCAGAGTTAATACCTCCTATTCTATTCCCCTATTTAGGCGCTGTAGTCAAAAAAACTATAACAAATAGACCCGAGAGACTGTCTTAATGGTTTTATTCTTGTCTCAAATGCCACATCAATATTAACTATATCAGTTAAATATCAAGTATACGTCATTTATTGCATTGTGACCTTGTTAAAATATGTGATGTCTCAAATCTTTTAGAAGCAGAGCAACCTTAATGTGACCTCCAATGAGTTTAGATAAAGATAACTGTGCATGGTGCGATCAACAGCTACATGACAGTCAAAATTTCAACCGATCCCATTTTAATAGAATTTATCTTTTTAACATTTGCGAATTTCCTTTGAGGCAAACCTGAAAAGGCGTTACTTTGAAAAAAAAAACAGAGAGTGGTAATAATTTCTTGAATTCAGAGAGGGTTTCGATATATTGTTAGGAAGTTGGACGCCGCACGAGCGGATCAGAGTTTCATCAAGGGAGGGGCAGAAACCCAAAAATGTGTCACTCATTTTTTAGGTCGACCAAATCATTGATTTTCCGAGCTTTCTCAAAACACTACATTGAACTTTCTGGGTCGAAATATTCTACGCCGCTGGCAAAAATTTTCAAAAGCACGTTGAAATGCAGTACTTGGAAAATTGTCATAAGAAGTAGTGCCCCTCAAATTTAAAAATAATTGGCACCAAAAGCATCTTAGGAAAGTCGTAAAATGGAAGTATTAAAGTGTTACCGAGAAAGATACTGACCCCTAATTCTACGCCTGGTAGATCCACAAGAATAGGAAACTACTTCAATGATTTTGGAACGATTTCTGAGACTAATCAAATCTCAGCTTGCGCGTTAAAAGTATGTATGTATGTATGTGTGTATGTATGTATGTTTGTATGTGTGTATGTATGTATGTATGTATGTATGTATGTATGTATGTATGTATGTATGTATGTATGTATGTATGTATGTATTTACGCATGTATGTATGTATGTATGTATGTATGTATGTATGTATGTATGTATGTTTGTGTATGTATGTATGTATGTATGTATGTATGTATGTATGTATGTATTTATGTATGTATGTATGTATGTATGTATATATGTATGTATGTATGTATGTATGTATGTATGTATGTATGTATGTATGTATGTATGTATGTATGTATGTATGTATGTATGTATGTATGTATGTATGTATGTATGTATGTATGTATGTATGTATGTATGTATGTATGTATGTATGTATGTATGAAAGGTTCAATACTCTATCCCGGGCTGAGGTGCTCGACTCATGATTCGACCGGAACGGTCGAACGATGTCCGTTTTCGACTTTTTCAGTCGAACGATGTCCAATTTCGACTCTTTGAGTCAAACGATGTCCGTTTTCAGCTTTGTTCAACTTACTGGATATTGTTCGATTTTTTGTTCGACTTTGCTCGACTTTGTTTGACTATACCGGTCATTGTTCGACTTTGTTCGACTTTACCGGACATTGTTCGACTCTGTTCGATTATATCAGAAATTTTTCGCTTTTACCGGGAATTAGCCGAAGTGTCCCGAACTAAAACGAAACTCGGACATCATTTGACCGTTTCTGTCAAATCATGTGTCAAAAATCTCAGCCTGGGCAGCCGCAAAAAATACTAGAAAAATCCACAAATTTACGTTTCAATCAACCAGACCAAAAATGGCTATTTTTTGACCGGCTCATTTAGAAATGGTTATGTTTTGATCGACCTGACCAAGCATTTCTCGGTTCCCGGGTCGAGTTCGAAAAATTAGAAAAGTAAAGTTTACCCTAACTGAATTAAGATTGATTTCAATTAAACAGGAATAAGGGAAATTAAGAAAAACATTGGATTTCGTAGTCAACATATCAAAATAGCAATTCAACCATTCAGAGAATAAAGTTTTGTATGTATATATGTATATATGTATGTATGTATGTATGTATGTATGTATGTATGTATGTATGTATGTATGTATGTATGTATGTATGTATGTATGTATGTATGTATGTATTTATGTATGTATATATGTATGTATCTATGTATGTATGTATGTATGTATGTATGTATGTATGTATGTATGTATGTATGTATGTATGTATTCATGTATGTATGTATGTATGTATGTATGTATGTATGTATGTATGTGTGTAT